CCCGTAGCAGCAGGAACAGCACGTGCAATTGGCCAATTCGTAGCGTAGCCGACGGCAACCAAAATCCATCGATTTCCATTGATTGTAGTGGGAAGTTCTCCAATGAAATCGAGATGCCAATGAGAGAAAGCAGGGGGGATATCCAATGGTTCCAAAGGGGCATGGTGTATGTTGCGTTCTGCGTTTGAGGCCAATTGACATTGATGACATTTCGATAACCATTCTTGAATTTGACTTCTCATGGCTGGCCACCACCAACGCTTCTTCATTAAATCATACACCGTTGTTTCTCCAGCATGTCCGAAACCATTGTGGAAATTATTTACTAAGTCTGCACGCTTGGCAAACAGTGCAAAACGAATTTCTTGTACCGTGTCACCTATTTTAACGAGACGGAAAACCTTTTGGTCGTGGACCACAAACTTATTGCGTTGCCGATGGAGTAATTCTTTTATGTCTTCTGGCCATTCATCTTCTTTTCGTGCATAAAATTTTGGCCAGTCGGACGTTTGTGAGTCTGGTATGGTGTACAGGTATTCTGGTTCCATTGATTTAATTAATGTTGCATCGTATTCTGGGCCATCGAGACGAGAGAGCACATCAGGGACACCATTGTCTTTGCCCGGTTTATATTGAATTATCGGGTCATACAGCTCGAATTCAGAAATCCACCTTATCAGGCGAGGCGTGGGCTTAACCTGACTGCGAAAATACTTGAGTGGTAAGTGATCGGTGAATACAGTGAACGGTTTTCCTTCGATCATGCAGCGCCAAGTATGCAAGGCATGTAGAATACCAAGTAACTCGCGCTCTTGAGCAGGATACGATCTTTCGGCAGGGGAGAGTTTTTTCGATTCGAACGCTAATGGTTTCCAACTTCCGTTTTCGTCTTCTTGCATTAATACGGCACCAACACCAAAATCTGAAGCATCTGTTTCAATGCGGAATGGTTTATCCATGTCTGGGGCAAGTAATACAGGTGCAGTACTCATTTTCTCTTTTAGTAAATCGAAACTTTCCTGGCATGTCTCCGTCCAAACGATAGGCCGTTGTTTTGGTCCTGTCCCTTTAGTTAAGTCTGTTAAGGGCGCAGCAATTCCAGCAAACCCAGGGATGAAGCGGCGGTAGTGCTGTGCAAGGCCAATAAATTGTCTAACTTCTTGTACATTTGTTGGCGGTGTCCATTCTTTTATAGTCTTTACTTTGTCTGGCGATGGTAAGATGCCTTGCGCAGATACGTTGAATCCAAGGAAAGTTAGTTCGTTTTTGTTAAATTCGCATTTTTTAAGGTTGGCAATTAATTTCGCTTCACGTAGTCGGTTTAACACATGTCGTACATGTTCTTCGTGTTCTTCTGGTGTTGTGCTAAAGATTAGGATATCATCCAAATAGACTAAGGCAAACTTATCCAAACAATCTCCAAGAACTTTGTTCATAAGATGCTGAAACGTCGGTAGGGCATTGGTGAGACCAAAGGGAAGAACCAGAAACTCGTATTGGCCATATCGGGTGTTAAAGGCGGTTTTTGGCACATCTGAGTCTTGAATTCTCACTTGATGGTAACCGCTTTTGAGGTTCAAACTGGTGAAATGGTTTGCTCCACGAAGGCGTTCCAAACACTCATCGATGCGTGGCAATGGATGGTTATTGTGGATAGTAACTTTGTTCAGGGCTCTGTAATCAACACACATGCGCATCTCACCATTTTTCTTTTTAACAAATAAAATTGGAGCACCCCATGGCGAAGAACTCGGACGAATTAAGCCGAGGTCTAGAAGTTCCTTTAGTTGTTGCTGTAATTCGTCGAGTTCTCGAGGGCTCATTTTGAATGGCGGTTTATTGACAGGGTAGGCATCTCCAGTGTTTATAACGTGTTGGACGTCACGGTTCGGCGGTAATCCAGGTAAACCGTCTTGGAAAACGTCCTCGAATTCTTTTACTAATTTCATCCAGTGTTCATCATTATGTATTTCTTTTTCTGTCTTAATGTGCAACAAAAAGCATTCGGCCTCCTCTCTCCTAGAGAGTTTCTCAATTTGTTTTGCAGATATCAGATAGTTTAGGTGAGGTTTAGTAGGACGGGGCCCATGAGGACGCAAAATAAATTCTTGTTCATCACGATGTAAAGACCAGCTATCGACATGCCAATCTGGGACGGGTTTAGCCATTTGCAACCAAGTGCGGCCAAGAATCAAGTCGAATTTAGTGGGAAATACAAAAGCATTGATGGTGTCAGTGTATCCATTTAAAGAGAGGTTTAATGTTGCCTTCTGATGGATCTTAATGCTGTGTCCTCCTGCAGTTTCGACTGATCGTCCGGGTATATCCAAAATGTGTGTAGCCAAATGGGCGATCTGGGGTGATACATAGTTTGCACTAGCACCACTATCAATTAACACCAGAATTTGTTGTCCGTCAAGTATAGCGGCGTATAAGGGCAAGTCTGTGTCCACGGCAGCATGGAGATCTTCTAAGAAATGTTGGTCAGCGGTGAGAAAAGGGTCACAATTTTCTTCAGACATAGTCTCAGGCTCTTCATTGGTAACATTTGTATACTGTTCAGACACGTCTTTATTAATTTCTGGTTCGCTAGTTTCGCTAATATTATTAGCCTGTGGGGAGGATTTTTCTTCCATTGAACACAACCAACCTCCCGTTACGGTTGTGTTTCGCGAAAACCCTGCTTCTTGCTACGTGCCTCATCTAACTGTCTAATCGCTGCTAATCGATCCCTACAGTTCCTCTTGAAGTGACCAACTTTGCCGCACCAATGGCAAGTAGCCACATTACGTTTCTGAGGGGGGCAAGATCGGTAGTTATTACGGCGACCTTGAATCGCATCCAGGTCCATGGGCTCGGGACCACTGTACTGCTGTTGGTACGGCTGTTGGTACGTCTGTTGGTACGGTTGAGGGACGGGTGCGTAGTTGGTCTGTTGCCCCAAGTGGAGGCCACTGGCATATGCCAAAGCGATGTTGCAGGCATCGTCAACGTCGACAGGTCGGGCGGCAAGAACATTTCCTCGTATGGTGGGGTGAAGTCCGCGGACAAACTTGTCGAGGGCTTCTTCATCGTTCATTCCAGGCAACTCCAACTGGATGTCGTGGAACGCGTCGATGTACTCTGCGACCGTTCCCGTTTGGTACAGTCGAGCAAGGCGGTCCCTGGACGTCTGTAGTGAGTAGACTGGACGGAATTCTCCCGACAGAGCCATCTTGGACTCATCCCAGGTTGTTGGATGTTTGTCCTTTACTTCCATGCGTCTCCACCATGTGTCTGCTCTGTCACGCAACAGATTCACTGCAAATTCACAGGCTTTTGTTGCGGAAAAATTGTAGTATCTGGTGTAACGTTCGACTGCGCGCAGCCAACCATCCACTACTGTGGCAGAACGTTCTCCATGGAAGCAATCAGGTTGCTTGATTCGTTCAGCACGGGCCTCCTGCTGCACCGTGATTGCTTTCATTGCTTCGGCGACGGCAGCAGCAATTGCTTCAGCTGTTAGAGTGGCGGTTTGGGGGGCCATTGTTTCTTCTTGTTCTTGTTTGTTCTTTCCTGTTAAGGTTGCAGCTAGTTTTGTGGCTAGTTCGGTCCACTTCTGTTCTCGGGCAGGGGTCTTCTTAATACGCTGTTCTTCAGGGATATGAGGAACACGCCGATTCTTCTTGTAGTCGTTTACTAATTCGCTAGGTAACAAGTCCTGGACTCGTTCTTCAATCTCGAATTGGCTAAGGGTCTTCTTATCAAATATGTCTTGGTGTCTTTCAACCGGATTCATCAAAGGTCTTGTTAGAGGAAAAATAGCTTCAGCTACCAATTGTCGTTCCCGATCTGGGTTGGTCTTCCTTTTACTATAACAAAGTCAAAAGGTCAAACCCACTGGGGATCAAGGAGTATACGTAAAATCAAAGAGAGGATCAAAGATGCCTTTTATTGATAGGAATTGAATTGTCTTATATAGTTTTCTAAACTAATACTGCGCATTATCCGCAGTAAACTATTATACTCTATTTAATTACAAGAGAAGTCCTTTTACTGCGG